GTTTTTTTTTTGCTCTGCCTTTCACCTTTTACCTTCACCTCGTGCTCAACCTTAAAGGCATGAGGAGAGTTGCAGGGCTTTCATTTTTTTGGCTGCTGGCAGCGCAGAAGTGACACGGGTCCAGATGATCTGGGCACACCCACACTGGTGCTTGTGATCCAATGAAATCCCCAAGGAAGAGTGTGAAAGGCAAAATCCACTTTCTCCAAGATTTTTGTGTTATCAAGTATAAAATCTCTCTTCTCCTGGAAGATCTCGCGGGGAGTTTTATTCCCCCAGTTTCCTGTGACTGCAGAAGGGAGTTTCTCATTCCCAAGAGCAGTGTCTGCTCGTTATCTAATTGCTGATTAACATCTAATTCTGCGTCCTGGAGCTGCAAGCAGGTCCCAAGTGAGCTGTTGTGAGCACTGGGCACAGAGCCAGGGACTGTTCCTGCCTCTCCTGGACCAAGGAAAATTGTACCTCTGGCACCCCCAATTCCTTGTGTGGAATTTAAGGACTTGCCTAATAAGGAATCAGCAGGAAAACAGTAAAACCATCATTCCTGTGCAGAGCTCTCTCCACCTTCTGCCTCAGCACTGCTTTAATGTTGACTGAAATCCTGGGACCCCTGGAGCTGAACATCCTTTGGAGTGAAAATTCCTACATGGAAGTTCTTTCCACATCACTGGAAGAGCTTTGGGTCACTTCTGCTGTTCAGTCTTTGTCTTGGAGCAACCTGATCTCGTGGAAGGTGTCCCTGGAACGAGATCTTTTAGGTCCCTTCCCACCCAAAACATTCCATGATTCTGTGATAAAGCAAAGCCCAACCCAGAACACCCCAATTCTGCTCTGGTGGAGGGGACGAGCTCCACGTGGGAATGACAGAAAGGTGACAGAGAGAGGCAGGAATGGGAATGACCAGGAATGAGTTCATTCAGCCCCAGTGGAGACACAAAGGAGACGCTGAGACCGAAGTTTTTCCATGCTTTGACGAATCCTAATTATGGTACTAAAGCTGCTGCTCCTGGAGGCAGTTTTCCAGCTCTTCACCCTACTTTAGATGCCAGGAATTCCTTCTGATCCTATCTAAATTCCTCTTTGCTGCTGCCGTCAACCCCAACACAAAAAGTGGGAAGAACAAAGCAGCCTGAGCCTTCCATTTGGAGGATCTGGAAGGTTCTCATCCCATCACACACCAGTTCACACTTCCCAGTGCAATGTGTAAGATTCTTCTGTGGAGTGCAGAATTCCAGCAGGGCTCTGTTTCACATTTTTTCTCAAAGTTTGACACGTGTTACATTTGTGATCCAGCACACCTTCTTTTCCTGCCAGATTGCTGCAAGGGAGATTCCCTCATCCCGTATTTGTGCCACGTTAACTGGAGAGCTTTTTGTGCTTGTCCTTCCTAAATTACACCCTCTTTTCTCAACCTACCACTTAAATTTACTGGAATCACCCAGAATTCTCCTGCTTGCAGATTCTTCTCAGCTCGTCACCCATGAGCTCAGTGAATTTATTGTCTAATATATCATCCAAACCAGCAATTAAAACTTTGCATCGTCGCAGAGCCAAGAGGAGCCTTTTAATGGATCGTTCCAGCCTGACAGCAAATTGCTGGCTGTGATTTGCTCATGATTTCAGCCTGACTGGGTTTCCTTGGGTTTGCTTTCTGAGCCCATCACGTGACACTGTGCCAAAAACTTTATTAAGGCTGAGCTGTGTGACAGGTACCACTTTTACCCTCACAGATTTTTGCTATCTTGTCACAGGGAGGGATATCACCCACCTGTCACAAAATCCTTGCTGATTATCCCTCCCTCCTTGATAGGCCCTACACCATTGATTGATGATCTGTTTCAGAGCTTTTTTCCCGCTCTGGGTTGGCTGCTCTGGGTGTCCCTAGAGAGTTCCCTATGCCCTTTATAACAATGGGTTATTTCCACATTTCTTCAGGAAAATGCTTTGGAGGTGGCACTCTTTGGTCTGGTTGACAAGGTGAGGGTTGGTCACAGGTTGGACTCAATGATCTTGGAGGTCTTTTCCAACCTTAATGAGTCTGTGATTTGTTGTTACCCAGGCTCCCAAAACACCCAGATTTCCCTGTTGCAAAGGAGCAGGAGCAGGAGAAACAGGCTGGGTTGGGTAGCTGTGATGGATTTCTTTTCCCAGTTTTCCTGGACACCACTTTGGCTGACAACCCTCACTGATTTGCATATTTATGTAGAAAACACTAATTTTATTCACTTTTGATGTGTTAATTAGTTCGTCTCATTAATGTCTGTGGCAGCAAAGTGGTTCTTGCTGTTGTGTTTGATGTGGTTGTGTCTCCACACCTGTTTTCCCTCTTACTCCGCACGTGGAAGCACAAACACAACTCCTGACTCTGCAAGTGCAGCTCAAAGCTGTGGGATTGACAAAACAAATCCTACACTGAGGCTCCAAGAATCACCTGGAATTCTTCTCCCAGACAGCTCAGCCTGGAGAGCACCAGCACCCAAACCTCACGCTGGAAAAGGGAAATGGGACTGAATCAATCCATGGGGAAAAAAAAAAGGAGATTTAGGCTTTGCCTAGAGCTGGGCCACATAAGCCTTGATCTTCCACCTACACCTTCCTCCAGCCCAGGGAAGGGAGGAACCAGCGTGGAAAAGGAGCTGTGACTTCATAATCAGCCCATTCCTCACCTCCAATCAAGAAGAATAATTTTAAATTGTCTCTCTTCCTTCTTTATTTGAAAGACTTCCAGCGATTTCACACTCAGAGGATCAGCGCTGACAAAGTCAGAATTCCCACCTCCAGATTTACTTTTCCGTGACCTTCAGCGCCCACAACCAGGAGCTCTGAGTCCAGGAACTAGATGGGTGGACAAGACAATGAGTAAATCCTTTTAAACACAACCCCTTTACCTCCAAAGAATCAGGCAGGATAATCCTGGCTACTTCAGCTGTTTCAGCATCCAGAAATTTCAGGAAGAGAAAATTTGTAGACAGTTCTAGGAAACCACTCTCGTTTGACCTTCTGGCAGCACTTAAACTGCTGTGGTGAAAAGTGGGGGAAGAGCTGGCAGTAAGGATCTGCAAAAGATGAGGATAAAGTTTGTCCTCCCTCCTGAACTGTGTCCATCCTGGTTCTCCACACACTCACTGGACTTACCTCAACCTTCCACTTGTTCCTTCCCCTCCATATGGTCTCTCCACCAAGATTTTGCTTTCTTGTGTCCAGCAAAACTGGTTGAGATAAAAATTGCTCCTTCTACTTCCTCGTCCTCCTGCCAATATGACAGGTGGTAAAACAGTAACAGCTTTGGCCTGGAGCCCAAATTTCTCGGAGTTTTTTGAAAGCACCTGAGGTCCTGCAGGAAAAAACTGTGCAGGGTATGGAGGACTTGCTCCTGGAGGATTTGCTCCTGGAATTGGGATGCAGCACAGCCACCACAGCCCTACCAGTGGCTGCCCTGAGCAGCTGGACATCTCTTCCTTCTTTTTGTTCTTCCCTTTCTCCATCCTAATTTTCCTTCCCTTCTGAGGTTGTGTTTGGTGAGAGAAAATTAACAGCAGGTTCTGCTGTTGATTTGGGCTTTTGACAGCTGTCATCTCCAGGCACAGCTCAGTGGGGTGTTGGTGTCTTCTTGTCCCTGCCCACCACTGCGGTGTCACTTCCTTCTTTCCCTTCATTTCCCCTCCATCCATTAAACAAAATACTTAAAACCAGTCACCAGATCCGGGGCTCACAGCACAAAACATGAAGCTGATGTGGAATATTTCATTCTGGAAAACCAGTGGCTCTGAAATCCAGGCACCGTGAAGTGCCTCAAAAATCCACATGTGCAACCAAAACCCCGCAGAGTTCCAGGGGAGTGCTTCAGAGAAAGCAAAGATCTCATCTCATCAAACACAACAAAAAAAAAACTACACCCTTCAATTGTTTGGACCAGCTCTGGTTTCTCCCAGGATACAGCTGAGCGAGGGATGCTGCCAGCTTTTCCTTTTCTCTCTTTTTTTTTTTTTCTGTGTGTTTTCCAGGAATGGGAGCTTGCAGCTGGGGCTGTGACCCAAGAAGCTCTGAGCTGTTTGTGTGAGTCCCTGGCTGGCTGCCCTTCTTCTTCTCTGTGACACCCCCCAGGCCTCCGACAGAGCTTTTCTGTCTCCCCCCAGCTGCAGCTCCTGTGGGGAGAGGAGGGAGCAGAGAGCGTGGAGGGCAAAACCAAACAAAGCTCAACACAATCGATGGTTTCTCTGCCAGGAACGTGGGTCTGTGGAAAGCCTCTCACAGCCTCTGAATGGCAGGAATTGGTGACAGCTGTGTGAGGTTGTTTTGGCCCTGGGAAAAAAAAAAAAATAGGGGAATAGATATGGGGATGTCTTTTCCAGCTGGATGAGGTCCATGAGGAGGCAGTGTGAGAGCAACTCCCAGCTCAGCGGGCTGCCCCCAATTCCTTCCCTTCTCTCTCCTACCTTTCCACTGCCTTTCCTCTCTCAGCCACATATTTCCCTCTCTGCCTTTCCCTCTTTTCTCTGATGAGAGAAGCTCATTTCAAAATGGGAATGGGAGGAAAGACCCTGAGGAGCCAGAAATTGCTGCCCAGCAAGGCTGGAGAAACTTCCACAGCACTGCCACAAATCAGCTTTACTTCCACCTGCTTGTTGGTAAACAGATATTTGATAACCAGATTCACTGTGAACAAATTCACCGATCATCCCCTGTGCTGACACAACTGTGGAGCCATTCCCTGTGTTTCTGGCAGGTGGGATGTTATTCCTCGCAGAGCTTTGAAAGTGAGAGACGAAACTATGCCTTCAAGGATCTCCTCGGAGCAATAATGATTTGAAGCTTTAACACGTCAAAAAGGCCATTTTCTGTATGTTCTCTTAGGTGAGTTGGATGTCTGGGGACACTTTGGATTCAAGCAGGCTCAGGAAATCAATGGGAGTTCAGCACCTGACTTATCCAGGCTCTCTCAAAAATCCCAGGGGGAAGCTCAACCACAAAACACGAATCTTTGAGAGTGGAAAATTATCCCAGAACAACACTTTTATTTCAGCCATCATGGGGAGCTCTGCCAAACCCATCACGATCCGTATGCAAAGATGTAAGTGAGGCCGACCAGGATACCCAGGGACATCACTCCCTGGCTGCTCTGCCTGCTGCTGACTCCATTCACGTTGCACAGGGGTTTCTCACAGCAGGAAACATTCTGGGAGCTTTGGGGTTGTTGCTGACCTGTGGCTGGACACGTTGGAGAGCACATCTTGGAGATGACGTATTTAGGCTTGTTGGGCTCTAGTGCAGGGGAAAAAAAAGTGGGGGAGAAAAGAGAAAGGGGGGTGAAAAATAATTGTTTAAGTATTTTTGTGGTTAAATCTGTTTTGGTGAGTAAAGGAAGGCCAGGCACTAATCCTCAAGGCAAATTTCATGGAATTAATCATAGAATCATAGAATGGCTTGGGTTGGAAGGGACCTTAAAATTCATCCATGGGCTGATGTGAGAAATGGATTTGTAATGAGTTGTGTACTTGTATACTTCACTGTGTACAACAAATGACAAAGACCATCAAAAAAGTTTTTACAATCCAAAAAACAGGGCGAGATGTGAGAAACGAATTTGTAATGAATTCTCAAAACTGACTGAAAGCTCACACAGCCTTGTACATGTGTATGCAAACACCGAGATGAGGTGTGCTGACTTAGGAAGGCCTTGGGACAGAGATGACATTGTTGAGAAAAAGATTGAGCTAGGAACAAGTTTCAACATGTTTCAAAATGTGGCCTTGCAAAAAAAAAAAAAAAATAAAAAAACCAAAAACAGGTATTTTAGGGAATTAGAACTGTGAAAGATGCATTGTAGCAGGACCACGTGGGGGTAAAAATATAAGTGATTGATGTTAAAAGTAACAGCAGCATTGTGTGGCAAAAGCTAATAGGCTGGAAAACATTTATAAAGTCTTGTAACCAAGAAGTGGGTTGGCTTCTCTTAGAATGGTGTTGGGTTTTACATCTCTAATGTCTCACCCTCCTATGAGACTAATAATGGAATAAAATCTTTTAAAATGCCTCTCAGTTGTCCTGTTTCTATAAAAGCCAGGAATAATCCAACAGGCAGGGACACCTCCCACCAGACCAGGTTGCTCAGAGGCCCATCCAGCCCGGCCTTGGACATTTCCAGGGATGGGGTAGCCACAGTGCCATAGGATCCTAGAATTGTTAAGGCTGGAAAAGACCTTTAAGATCATCAAGTCCAACCAGGACTTCTCTGGGCTCCACATTTTTAAATTTTGTCAGTCCTAACGTGGAATTAGCACCCATAGTTCTCAGCTCCAGCCTCCTGAAGTGATGCTCAGGCTGGGTCATTCCCACCGGGATGGTTTTTCCTACAGCATAAACACAGGGGGAATGTTCTGCAGGACCTGAGATATGGGACAAGAGCATGTGAATGTCTTTGAGGGCACAGAGCCCCCAGGACAGACCTGAAGGGTTGTGCTTGGCACAGGGAGTCAGCCACGGTGAGGTTTGGCCGGAACATTCCTCAAAACAGTTCTGGGAGTGAAACATGCACAGCTCCCAGTGGGAATCCACTCCCTGGTGCTGCTCTGTGTGTCCTCATCATTTCCCCAGTTTCCAGCAGGAGTACCAAGTGTGTCTGGACACTGCAGCAGCCACAAGGTCAGTGTCTCCTAAAAGCTGGTCACCAAGGCCTGTTGTTCCCATACTGGGATGAAATCCCATTCCTGGGACTGCTCTCCTACAAAACAAACAAAGTGTTGTTCCCAAACCTACTTGTCCCAACGTCCTTCCGGACGGTCACACAGTGTTTGTCCTCCTTGGCACACATGGAAATGGTCAAACAGTCCTTGTTGGACTCCTGTTCTTGGCAGGTGTAGCACATGAATGCATAAACTGAAGGGAAAAAAACAGGGAAAAGCACATTACAAGGTTTAAAAACCACAAAAGTTCAGTGCAGAGATCTCCATTTCCCTCGTTACAGGCTGAGGAATGTTTTTGTGGGAATGACCAGCGGCTTACTTTATCCCCTGACCCATGGCAGCAGCACTAAATCCCTCTCTGTCTCCTCTGGCTCAGGCTGAGAAGTGTTATCGATCTGTTTGCAATCCCTGGGAGCAAGAGATGTGAGTAGAATTCAAGGATTTGGGAGCTTTTATGAAGGAGATTATTGCTGAGCCATAGCAGCTCGGTCCTGAGGGCTCGGCCATGGGAATTGCCAATTACTGCTCAGGGTTTCTCCTGGGCAAGGCTTGGCAGGGAGAATTTAAAGATTTCCGTAGCACTTCGAGGTGGACAATGCCCAGTGTCCTACTTCTCTTTCATCTGGCTCAGAGACTGCTGTCACAACTCTTTTTTTTGTGCTTGAACGTCACTGAACTGGCCTAACCTCAGTTCTGGGAGGTCTGGTGAGTGCCCTCAGATGCTCTGTCAAACTCCTGGTTTTAGCATAACATCGGGAACGGATGGAAAATCTTAACCAAAAGTTTAGTTCAAGTGCTAAAGGCAGATTTGGTGAGATAATTCCTACATCTGCAGCAGTGGCAGATGATTGGCAGGAAGGTCATGCAGCGATGAGTTGTGTTTCCTGCCGAGAACGTCTGTGCCTGCCCTCAAAACCAGAATGTGGTAGGCCAGACCTCTGGAAAGTAGGAAATAAGAGGAAGTGATGCCTGTGGAGGCTGACCTAGAACAGAGACTAGACAGAGCTAAAGAATAAAGTAGGGATTTATTAAATGGCCTCAATGGATGCCCCAGAGCTACACCCAAGATGAACCCAAAATGGTCACAAAATGGATGACCAGTCACGGGGTCTCTCACTTTGATAAGTTTTGGTCCATTTGCATGTTGGAGTTAATTGTCCAGTTTTAGCTTTAGCTTGTGAAGTCCCATCCTTCTGTTTTTCTCTTTTCAGTCCACCTTTGTTTATGCTTCTAGACCTGAGATTTGGATCATTTGTCCTTCATCCCCAGCTAGAGCAGGAATTGTTTTGTCTCCCTGCTCTGTGAAGAGAGCTCACCATCCCCTAATATGAAGCTCAGACCCACACACTAAAGCAGCCCAGAATCTGAAAAATATAAAAGCCAAAACCTGAGGCATCATGATGAGGAGCAAAAACAGAGTCTGGGTGATAAAACACCCTAAAATATGTGCAGAACACTCCCCAGCCGGGCAGATGGAAAGGTTTAATAGTGGTGGTTGAGTTCAGAGCTCGTGAAATCACCCAGAGCAGACTGTGGGGTTTTGTGATTGAGTTCTTTTAAAAACAAAGCTATTTTTTTGAGGGGAAACAAAGCCAAATGCTGGCTGAGTTCCTGCTATGTCTGGGGCAAGTCTGTCACTTTGGAAAGGGCAAAAACAACTAAAGGACATGTCCCTGTGAGCACACTTTTACCCGATAAGAAGTTGGCAGTGAAAAAGTGGAAGGACAGCAGAGGTCACACCATAAAATGAGAAGTTTCTGATAGAAAGGAAGGAAAAAAGTCCCCAGCTGTTGATCTTGTGAAGCTTTTTTTGCATCATTCTCCTCTACAAGAAGTTGAATTTTCATGTGCTGAGGAGAGGAGATTCAAGGAGGTTTTATGGAGTTTTTGGCACAACTTTGAATGATGTTGTTCTCAAGCAAGCCCAGGAAACATGAGCTGCTGAAAATTCCAGGGAATGGGTGCAAAGCCAGGCATGAAAACACCCTCAGAGGGTAATTTCCCCAGAATATTGGTCAAACCAACTGGAGCAGTGGAAGGAATTCTTCTCTGTGTGGGTGCTGAGGCCCTGGCACAGGTTTCCCAGGGATGGCTGCCCCATTCCTGGAAGTGTCCAAGCCAGGTTGGACAGGGCTTGGAGCATCCTGGGATAGTGGAAGTGTCCCTGACCATGGGAGGGGGTGGGATGAGAGGATTTTGAAGCTCCCTTTCAACCCAAACCATCCCATGGTTTTAAGTGATTTTAACAAATGGATGCAGTAAAAGAGTGAAAAAGGAATGTGGATGCAATTAAGTAAAGAGAAATAAATTGCAATAGATAAAACTTAGACACTTGAATACAGGGTGATAAATAATTGGTTTAGTTACGATTCAGAACCACAGTGACAACAGCAGGAGTCAACAGTGTCACATTCCAGCCACGGAAACCGGCGTCACCCAAGGGGACACGGGCAGAAATGTCATGTGCAAGATACACAAAGTGGCCTTTCCACCCTGGCAGGGCCTCAGCTGGAGCCCCATGCCCAAATCTCTCTGCAGCGCTTCCAAAAATTCAGAGCATTTGGAGAGGGACTAGAGGAGAGGGAGGAGAGAAGGTCAGAGATTATGGAAATGTGACCTTGTCAAAAAGGTTGGAAGGGGTTGGTTTGTCTGTAGAAAATGAGAATATGCTGAGGAAAGCTGCGGGAATCTTCCTCATGCAAGAAAAAAGATGCAGCAAAGAAGAAAGTAATAAAATATATAATGTGTCCCGTGGTGGAAATGTGGGAGAACAGAACAAAAACAGGTCATAAGAGATATTAAAACTAAATTCCTAAAGCGATGAGAGTCTCTGAGCAATTCTAGGCTGTGGAATCTTCCTTGCTGAAACTTTCAGAGACACCTTAAGCAAATATCTGCCTGGTCTTGTCCAACATTGCAGCGAGGACTTGATGATCTTAGAGGTCTTTTCCACCCTTAATGTGATTCTGTGAGAAGGATCAAGACCTTTTATGATTTTTGCTGGACTCAAAATTCACAAAACAGTGAGTTTAGGGATTGAAAAGGCGAAAGACCCTCTTTGGTCGGCTGAGAGATCGAGAGTTTTGACCAAAATTTGGTCATTAGGGTCTCAGATGAGACCCAGGATACCTGAGAATGATCAAATGCCAGTTTCCACATTTTCCTTTGTCCCAGTTTTAGGCCAGAAAGATCCAATCTCTTATTCTGGATCTGGGCTGCACCACAGAAAGGTGCTGTGTAAAAGCCTGTCCTTAAATCCATTGGGAATCTGCTGCCAAATTAAATGCCAGCAGTAAGGAATCCCACCATGAACCTGTGATCCTGGATCTTTGTGAGCTTTCCAATTCATCCTGGGTCACGCTGAGAACGTTGCCTTTGAAAATTCTCCTGTTCTGTTCATGTTAACGTTGCTTCAATCAGGAATTATGGGCACTAAATCAATTTTTTTAAAAATAATTGAACAGTCCTTTTTCCACACCCAAAACTGGCCAAAGGTCCTGCTCTTCCAGGCACGCTGGAGAACCATTCCAAAGGATGTAGGAGTAGGGGGTTGATACATCAGTGATAATTGATTAATTAGATGCCTCTTTCTCAACCAGATTCGTATCATGGTTTCTGGGAAACCATCAGGTGTGGGGGAAATTTTGGCACTCTGGTCATCATTCCCACACGCCAGGAGCGATGGAGCAACACGTATGTCTCACTCCCAGAAAGAGGACAACACTCGGCCTTCCCTTTGGGAGCGGGATGCCTTTCACATGAAAAGTTCTGTCACCTCTGCCGCTGATTTAATCTACAAAAATTCCCAGTGTTGCATTTCCTAGGAAGACACGTGGCAAACCACTACTAGGGAGGAAGCAGCGGGACAGAAAAGTCTCTAAGATACTCAAAAATGGAAATTATTAAGGAAAAAACCCCATTTTGTTATGCTTTCTATCACTTCCAGCTTGCCTCCTTTTGGAAGATCCCAAGGACCACAGTGTGGATTTAACCTGGCATCCAGCACCACCAGAGCTCCAGCACTGGAAAGAAGAATCAATTCACCAGATTCTCACTTCTGCATCAAAATCACTGACTGAGGTGCAAAAGGACATTGGTGACACCACCACAACACTGCAAAGTTGGTGACAGCCCTCTGGAGTTTTGCCACGTGGAAAACTGCCACCATCTTCCCCCTAATCCTTGTCTCAAGCAGGAGCAGCACGAGAGGCTCACCTTGTTCCACACAGAGCACAGCAGCCAGCAAGGTGACAAGAAGAGTCTTCATCTCCAGCAGATCCTCCCAGCAGCTCTGGGAAGCTGTTTGGAGGGAAGGTTTTATACCCCAGCCCAACAGCAGCAGTTTTACAGGTTCCAGGTGGACATGAAATCAACCCGAGGGTGTGGAGTGTTCATGTGGGAGTTTTCCACACCAGAGCCCTTGGAACGGGCTGGCACCTTGGGGAAAAGCCCTTTCAGCCACACATTTCTTGATCTTCCGGTCGTGTGAGTGATGGGAAGTCAGGACCTGCTCTCTCCTCCTCTGAATTTCTTTCTTCCCTTCCTTCCAGAGCCGCTGCTCTGATGAAAGCAGAGCCCGGAGGCATGGAGAGATTGTCCTAGGAATGAATTTTTCTAGTCCTTTTGCCTAGACAGCACATGATGCTGCAGGGTTTGTACCATTCATTGGCTTTAATTATTCAACAGCACCAGCCTCTAGCTGGCCTAAGCTGGTTTACCTCAAAATCAGTGTGTTTTACACTAAATTAAATTAGCTAATGGTTGGTTAAACAGAAGATTTTCCTCACATTTTCATGTCAGTCTTCATTTCTTTATCAATTTTCCTCTAGTTAATCCCTCTGCTTGTTGTTTTTCCTGCTTGTAATCCTCAAATGCCTTGTACAATTTTGACTTAATGGCTTTTTGCTGCTATCTAGGGATTCTTTAGAGGAGCTGCTTTTCTCCACGCCCAACAGTTTCTGGAAATCAGGGCCTCCATTTCCAAGCCCACAAATTGGTACCCTGGAATTGCAGCTCTGCTCTGGAAAGAGCCATCCCTCAAAGTGCCGTTTTCTCAAATGTCTGCTCTTAAATCAATCCTTTTGCTTTTATTTCTCTGTGTTGTTCCTCTCCTCTGAATTCCTTAAAATCTGTTCCTGACAGTCTGGGATAGAGACCCTCATTCAAGATGTGTCTTGTAGGAGCACGAGCTGCCACGTCCACAGAGCTTCCTCTAAAACAAGATTAGTCCTGGATCGCAGAAAGAAAATATTGTCAAACCCCGCTTTTTCTGGCAATTAGGGAATAACTTAACTGGCAATTCCCTGCATGTAGCCACCAGCAGGGTATTTTTGTCTGTTTCTAACGTGAATCATTCCGACACTGGATGATTTCCCGATCCATGTGATTTTCTGGCACTTTTTTCAGGCCCTCCTGATCTGCTCCCGGAATGATGCCATCAGGTGGTGAATTCCAGGGTTGTTCAAGCCCCGTGTCCAAACATTCCCTTGGTTTTGGAGGTCGGTGAGGTCAGCGGGGATGTGGTGATGATCACACCGAGCCTTGTGCTTTACGCAGGACAACTTGGTCCTTTGCCCCAGTGTTTTCTAAACAGGTTTTTCTCCCTCATTAGTGGGTGTGGCTCCTTGCTGGCATTTTGCAGTGAGACTGAAAAAAACCATTTTTTCTCCCATATTTTTGGTCTTTTTTATCCCACAGACTTGTTGTGTTTATTCCTTTCCCCTTCCATATCCCAGCTCCTGTTGATTTCCATAGAATCACAGATGGGGTTGGTAGGAAGGGACCTTAAAAACCACCTTGGACCTTAAAAATCACTTCATGCCATGGGCAGGGACACGTTCTACTGTCTTAGGTTGCTCCAGGCCCCATCCAACCTGGCTTTGTTGACTTTTCCAACATCCCTTTTATTCCCACATGAATTTTCTGGGAATAGGATAAGCACAAGTCAACTTTATCTTAGACTTTGACCTAGAATTTGACTCAGACTTCGACTTTAAGTTCAATTTTGATTTTGACTTTGACTTTGAAGGAGCACTGAGGCTGAAACATCCCCAGCACATCCAACAAATATGTACTAAGAGGAGAAATCTGAGTGGGAAATGGGATTTTCTGAGTTTTCTGGGAGCTGTCTCCAGGACGTGAATGTCTTCCTTAGTACTGTGGTTCTAAGGTACCTTGGAATGCTGGAGCATTCCCCCTTCCCGGCACATGGAGAGCACGGAAAAGAGATTTATTTCCCAACAAGGCAGATTACAAAACTCAAAAACACTCAGAGGCATCACTCAAGGATCCAGCATGGAGAGGGTGTCTCCTGCAGCCCAGGATCACAGCCTGGAAGGGGGGCCTGGAGCAGGGACACCAAGTGAGGAGTAAGACTGAGGAAGACTGGGGAAAAAAAAATCCCCAAGGAAGCTGAGTCACCTCTCTGGAGTAATCTTATCATTATCCATACAACAAAATTAAAGTTGATCAAATTTGAGCCATGAGTTGGCAATGGACTCAAATTGGAGCCATGTGTTGGCTCCGTGACAAGAAAGCAGCATTCAGCTTTGGAAAAAGTGTTGCTTTTGTCCCTTTCCATGGCTTCCAGAAGATTTTTAGACCTACTGAGGTTGTTGCTTTGACCTTTTGCATCCATCCTGTTTCTTGCTTTGGCATCGAGGCAAATAAACAGGGAAAAGAGGGAGAAATTTCATGTTGTGGGGAAAAGGCAGGGGAATTATTCAAAGAGAGCAGCAGGCAGCACAAATCCTTCAAAACCAGTGGTGGAAAAACCCTGAGAGAGGGAAAAGAAGGGCCAGAGTTAAAGTACCTCCTGCAGATGCCTCGTTTAGGCAGGGAAAGGCCTCCTTGGCTGATCCAGGTCCTGGTGCAGTGACTCAGAGCTCTGAAAAATGACTTTTATATAATCCACAGGGAGAGAGAGGCAGTTACCTCCCAGGATCAATCCCAGCTACTGGAATGAGACTCCCGTCTCCTTCCCAAAAGCCCTGCAGGCATCACAGATGTCTCTGCTCATGGGGCAGCTAAATGCTCCTATGTGAGAGTGTGCAGCCATGGGAGGCACCAGAAACCCGGGGTGATGGAAGGATGTGGAATTAGGGAGCAGCACCTGCGTGGGAGGCGTCAATCAGGATTTCTCAGGAAGGCCGGTAGAGTCTCCTCTTACACAACATTCCAAGGGGAGGGTTCGCCAGGGGAGCTCTCATGTTTTTAGGGCCTCCTGTGCCTCAGGGAAGTTGCTCCCGCCTCCAGATAAGGGCTTTGGGATGTGAGTCAGCTTTGGATGCGTTTTGTTGGGCACTAGGGAAAAACCAATGGGGTCAGGGGGAAATTAGGCAAGAAGGAGCCAGCCAGGACAGAGCTGTTCCCTTAGGGATGGCACTTCTGGATTCCCAGAGCTGTCTGTAACTTCTCCATGCAACAGCCATGAAACCCTCCAGGGGTGTCCCACATGCTTCCATCCCCTTTCCCATGCCAGGATCCTTCTGATCCCAAAACAGAGGCACCTGCCAAGTTCAGGCAGGTCAAGACATGACCTTTATTTTGAACCTGGCTGCCAAGGGCAGGTCTGGACTCCCAAGCTGAGCAGAACAAGACCTGAGGCAGTACCAGCCCCGTCCTGGCCTTTCCCCGTGCCAGCCATTGTTCCTAAGGAATCCTAAACTTGTGGATGGCACAGGATGGATGAAGATTATTCCAAATATTCCAGTTGTCACCATGTTAGGAGCGGGGTGTGGGGCAGAATATGGCCTGCCAAGGTCACAGAATTGGCTTGTTTGGAGGTTTTTGGATCTGTGTCACTTGAATATCCCCAAATTTGCCAGGAAGGGACGCAGGATGAGGAGAATAAATCGTGCAGATGGATGGAGCCAGCTCAGCTGGGAAAGGCAGTAAAATCCATGGTGAGAATGGAGAGGCTCATGGCCAAAATCAAAGTATCCTTGGCAAACCTTGCATTTACACCAGGAAGAGAACAATGTCTTGAGGCAAGGAAATAGAGTTTGGATGGAAAAACCCAGAGTAAGACTGGAGGAAGAAGCCAATGAGGAAATCTGGGAGAGCAAACAACCAGGGAATGCAGAGCTGGACGTGGATGGGAGGAAGGTGCACAGGAAGGGGTAAGAGCAGATCAGGATGAGCTGGAGGCACTTGTAAAGAACAAAGATGTGGCTGTTCCCGAGCATTGTTGTTCCTCTAATCCCAGAAAATGCCTGTCAAATGGAGCTGTGCAAGGAGCCTAGGGAGAGAAAACCAGTTGGGTGAGCTGCACCCAGTTGGTTTCCCTGGGAGATCTTCCTCGGGATGATCCTTGTGGAGAGCTTACTCCTAGGAGAAAACAGTTCAGCCTCCCTGGAAAGGTTGGGGGGAGCAAACCCCTCATTCCTAAGATTATCCACAAGGAAGGTCAGAGCAGGGTAATGAGTCCCTTCAACTTTAACTTGATGAGCAAACATATAAGGTTTATTTGCAGTGTTAATATTTTTTCATAGATGAGTCTGAAAAATTCCAGGTTTCTTTCCAGAAACCATCTGTCTTTTCCTACGATTTTCCTTATAGCACAGTGCAAGATACTTTTCTCCCTTTCCTAAATAATCCTAATGTTTCTTAAAGAATTTCCACTGGGAGATCTTAAACCAGTTTAAAGAAAATGCTGCAGATCCCTTCCCTGCCTTGTCCCCTCTGTTTCCTAGAGAGCTCAAGAGCCGTTTCCTTCCAGGCAGCTGACCCAGGAGAGGAACTGAAAGGAATTTAAATAGAATTCAGTTTATTCCAAAATGGAGTCACAAAAACGTCATTTCTGCCAGTGCAGAAAAGAATAAAATCTGGGGGGAGGCTTCCTGAAGTGAATGCAAAGTAATTTTAATATATTTCAGCATTATTCCTGTTCAACTTGCAGGCGAACGCCTCCACTTTTATCCCATAACATGGATACATCCAGCAGCTACGCCCAGTGTGCCACTCCACACAGCCACACAATTGAATAAAATAACACTTTATTGTGCCCAGTTTCTGTTTAACAACTGGAATATTAAAGGCTTTCTCAGAGCAAAATCATACAGGGTGGAAAATAGGAAAAAAAAAATTGGCACGAGAGAATGGCGGGGATAAAATCAAAGGCAAAAAATGCACAGAGTTATAAATGCCAGGAGTAGGAGAGATGGTGGCCACATGGGGCCATTCTGCACGTGCAGTGCTCCATTTTACCCTTTTCTCTCCCAAACATCATTTTGTGTTGTCATCAGAGCGTGGAAAGAGCAAAAACTACCTCCTGATGGGAGGCGACCTTCCAGGTAGGAGGCACAGGGCAGCATTGCCACCTGATGGACCGCAGCTTGAACCATGCCATGCAAAGCCAAGCAGCTCATTTTCCCCAAAAAACCCTCAAAAACCCATCCTGAGGATGCAGGCGAGACTGGCCAGGACCCCCAGGGTGAGGATGGTGGAACTGGTTTTCACGCTGCTGGCCCCACTGATGTTGCACAGGGAGGTCTCACAGCAGCTGGTGGCGACTCCAGCTATGCCGATGTTC